CCCAGCTACTTGGGAGGCGGAGGCAGGAGACTCGCTTGAGCCCAGGAGTTGGAGGTTGCTGTGAGCTGTAATGCCACGGCACTCTACCCAGGGGCTCAGCTTGAGGCTCTGTCTCAAAAAAAAAAAAAAAAAATATAGTTACACAACATATGGAGTACATCGTTTTGCTATGAGTGCCAGGACCAGCCTTTGAAATAACAATAAACAACTGCTTGCATGGGGAAATTTTAGGGCAGTTGAGAAATACTTCTCTTCTCCTCAGAAAATGGAAAACAAACTCTCTTCCAAATAAATTCATTTCTCCTCTTTTGAGTCAGAATGCTGACTGTATTCCCTTGTCATTGGCCTCATGTGTTCTCTTAACTTGATAACCCCTGTGAAAATATAGGGTATCCCAAAAGTCACCATACATAGGGAAAATGGGAAATTGTAGCTAAATGTACCTTTATTTACAAAATATCACAAAATATTTACAGAATATTCTGTCCCTGTTTGTTGTCCATTCCATGTAGACCTCCTCCAGTATTCCCCTGACTTTTTTTTTTTTTTTTTGAGACAGAGTCTCAAGCTGTCCCCCTGAGTAGAGTGCTATGGCATCAACCTCAGTAGAGTGCTATGGCCAGCAACCTCAACTCCTGGCCTTAAACGATTCTCTTGCCTCAGCCTCCCAAGTAGCTGGGACCACAGGTGCCTGCCACAATGCCCAGCTATTTTTTGGTTGCAGTTGTCGTTGTTTGGCAGGCCCGGGCTGATGTGAACCCACCAGCTTTGGTGCATGTGGCTGGCGCCTTAGCCACTTGAGCCACAGGAGCCAAGTCTCCCCTGACTTTCTTGCTTTTTCTGTTTTTACCTGTTAAATTTCTTCCTGTGTCAGTTGTCCTCACTTTTATTACACAAATTAATTTGTGATCAGTTTTTCTTCTTCAAGTTCCTGTTTACTATCTTTGAAAGTTCCTTCCATTTCCTCTAACCAAAAGTAAATTAATATAGTATTCTAATAAATCTTTGGACATCTAAGATTTAACTTCCACTTTGCTGGTATTTTTTTATATCTAGATGGATTTAACAGTCTAGGATGTGAACTTCATCATTTTCATTCTTGACAATTCTGAAAAATGCTCTTTCTGCTCGGTAATGGTAACACTTATAATAAAAGAACACTTGGGAAAGTCCATTGACTTTTAATCTTAATTTTAATCTTAATCAGCAGATCACATTTTATGATAACATTCTAAATTTAATATTTAACATTTATCATGTACTCACATTCTTACTTTACCAGCCATTTCACATAGAAGTGGTCCCTGTTGTCAATGAGTTTCCATCATAAACGATTTTAACTTAAAACATAGATAGAGGATGGGAACAGTGGCTCATGCCTGTAATTTTAGCACTCTGGGAGGCCAAGGCAGGTGGATTGCTTGAGCCCAGGAGTTGCAGACCAGCCTGAGCAAGAGCAAGACCCTGTCTCTACTAAAACAGAAAAATTGCTGGGTGTAGTGGTGCATACCTGTGATCCCAGCTCCTTGGGAGGCTGAAGCAAGAGAATCACTTGAGCCCAAGAGTTTGAGGTTTCTGTGAACTGTGATGCCACAGTACTCTACCCAGGTTGACCAAGTGAGACTATGTCTTACACAAAACAAAAAAAAAGGTAGAGACTGAGAATCCAATTTTCAAGTATGCATTCATTTTTTTATCACCTTTGATGTAAAGAAATCCAGGGGTTTTTTTGTTTGTTTGTTTTGTTGCTGTTTTTTTTGAGACAGAGTTTTATTTTGTTGCCTTCAGTAGAGTACCATGGTGTCACAGCTCACAGCAACCTCAAGCTCTTCAGCACAGCGATCCTCTTGCCTCAGCCTCCCAAGTAGCTGGGACTACAGGAGCCAGGTTCTTACTCTTGCTCAGTCTGGTCTCGAGCTCCTATGCTCAAGGCAACAACCCACCCTCCTCAGCCTCCTCAGAATTATAGGCATGAGCCACCGTGCCTGGCTTAGAAATACAGATATTTTGGCTCGGCGCCTATAGCTCAACCGGCTAAGGCGCCAGCCACGTACACCTAAGGTGGTGGGTTCGAATCCCCAGCCCGGCAAACAACTTGGTATGTGTTAAACACATATTATTTACTTG